CAGACCACGTTGACTACCGATAAAAATCTCATCTTATAGTGCATCGGGACAAAAACCACAATAAAAATTTCTGCTGTGCCGATGGGAAGCTCGGGTCAGCCCTGAACACTAACGCAGTCTCCAGAGCACAGCAACATCAAGCTGGCTTTGACCAACAGCTCCTTCAAACACAAGGGAGACGGCAAGGGTAGGACACCTAAGGTCGCCGTGTTCATAAACGTGCTTCACAAGCCCTAAGCTCCATTAAAAGGAGATCCAAGAGACTCTGGAAACTGGAACGCAGGCAGATGGACCAAAGGAATACTAAGGCCCATGGCAGGTTTTCTTCCCAGGCCCAGGACTCCAGCCTGTTGACAGTCACACTCCCAGTCTATACCAGCAATACATGCAATTCCTTACGCACTACCAACCTTCAAACCCTTAAAAAAGATTCCTAGAGTCTAGGCCAAGAAGGACATGGCCAATATTATGGAGCGACTCAGCTGAAGAGCTACAGGCAGCGTCTGAAGTGGTTATTAATCCACATCCACTCCATGTGGTGTAATTCCTTGCTAACCAAAACAGACTTGCTAGACTCTTATATTCCTTTACTAAGCAAGACAAGGAAAAGACAGAAAAAAGGCTTTGGCATTGACAATAACAAAGTCAATGAATGAACATTAAAAACTACTCATTAGGAGCTGCAGTATATAGTCTAGAAAGGGAGAGGAAAAATTAGTAAACTGCATTGATTTCATGTCTGGGAAAAAAAAAAAGCAAGGTAATCTGTCCTTATTCCTTGACACTCTTGGAAGAAAATCAGAGCAGAGATTACAGATCTAGCACGAGGACAAATTAAAAAATGGCTGCTACTCAAACAGCCCTGAACAGATCCCCTCTCTCTCATCTCAACACAAGTCTAACGTTTCTTAAGTTCCCTGCTTCAACGCAGTAAAAAGAACTTCAAATGTACCAAGGTGGGTGTGTTTTTGTTGTTATTTTTTAGGCTTTTTTAAAGAATGATCTGCTTTTCCTATTCAGATACCTAAATATCAATTGATTTTTTTGTAGCATATCCAGCTTTGTACGGGGGCTCAGACTACAAACAGAAGAAAAAGATCTAAAGTGTCAGAATACACTGTGCCACTTCATCTGCAACCCAACAGAAAGTCTAGACTTGGAATTTTCTCCTGTCTCTGTTGCAGACAAATCTGTTTCAAGAACATGCTAGCCCAAAACATCACAACTGTAAATTCATAGGAACAAGCCAGGCTACCGCTATACAGCCTCTGAATCTAGTTACACAAATGATAAATTACAGTGTGACAAACAAGTGAAAAGCTTTCTCCCACAATATTTAGAGCTAGACAGACAGCCACAGTGCGAAGGGGTTGCTTTTTTGGTTTTGTTTTCATACTGCAATAGAAAGGAGAAACTTGACTCTACTTTTATGAAAATACACTGAAGAATAAACAAGTGGTGCTGGTGAGAGGAGGGAGAAAGAAGGGGAACATTTAGAAAAACAGAAGGTTTAAGCACATTGTACGAGATCTAGACTCATGTCAGCCTTCCCTTATCAAAAACACATTCCCTACTACAGCTATTTTTTTTACAGGGAAAAAAAAAAATATAAAAAATACTGCTGTATACTTAGGTAATGCTGTGCACCTGTACAGCTTCCCCCTCTCCCTCGCACCTCCTCTCTCTTTGAGAGGTTTCAACATAGCCCTTGCTCATAACTTACTGGTAAATTGGGAAAAGCAGTGTCATCCTCTCCTTCAATTTCATAGAAAGTTATCGTTTCTTCCGGTCCTTGAGGCTCCTCTCCGTTCCCCGGTACAAACCCATACTGACATTCCTTATTTACACACTGCATCTGACGGCGGCTACGGCTGTAGGAGCTTTAAAAACAAGAAAGGACGTTAAGAATCATCCCTACTGGAGCTTCACCTTGGTTTCATTACTCAGTTTTAACTCTGTTCTTTTTGGAGAGGCACAATAAACCCACTGTTTCTTACGGTGCCATTAACAGCCAACTCAGCCCTCCACATACCTTTCCCACCATCCTCCCCAGCTCTTTTAGAGCAACAGTTTGTAAAGAGGTTTGTATTCACTTACCAGGACCTGCAGGAGAAATTGTCATAGCTCTGATAGCATCTCTTTCCTGGACTGGGGTAGAATGCTATTTGAGGGCCAATCCTGTTGTGACCATATGCAGATGCCCAGCCAAAAGCAGTAAATGGGCAAGAATCATGGAATGGTTTGGGTTGGAACGGACTTCAAAGATCATCTAGTTCCAACCTCCCTGCCATGACCAAGGTCACTTCCCACTAGACCAGGCTGGTCAAAGCCCCACCCAGCCTGGCCTTGAATACTTCTAGGGATGGGGCATCCACAGTTTCTCTGGGCAACCTTTGCCAGTGTCTCACCACCCTCACAGTAAAGAATTTCTTCTTAGTATCAAATCTAAATCTACCCCCTATCAGTTTAAAGCTATTACCCCTTGCCCTATTGCTAAATGACCTTGTGAGAAGTCCTTCCCCATCTTTCCTGTAGCCCCTTTAGGTACTGAAAGGCTGCAATAAGGTCTTTCCAGAGCTTTCTCTTTCCCAAGCTGAACAACTGCAACTCTCTCAGCCTGTCTTCACAGCAGAGGTGCTCCAGCCCTCTAATCATCTTTGTGGTCCTTCTCTGGACCTGCTCTAACAGGTCCATATCTTTCTTATGTTGGGGGCCCCAGAGCTGTACACAGCACTCCAGGTGGGGTCTCATCAGAGCGGAACAGAGGGGCAGAATCACCTCCTTCAACCTGCTGGCCACACTTCTTTTGATGAAGCCCAGGATGCATTTGGCTTTCAGGGCTGTGAACGCACATTGCTGGGTTGTGCTGAGCTTCTCATCAACCAACACCCTCAAGTCCTCCCCAGGGCTGCTCTCAATCTATTCTCTGCCCAGCCTGTATTTGTGTTTGGGATTGCCTTGATTGATGTGCAGGATCCTGCACTTTGCCTCGTTGAACTCCATAAGGTTGGCACAGGTCCCACCTCTCAAGCCTGTCCAGGTCCTTCTGAATGCATCCCTTCCCTCCAGTCTGTCAAATGTAGCACGCAGCCTCAGGTCATCAGCAAATTTGCTGAGGGTGCACTTAATCCTGCTATCTGTATCACCAAGAAAGATGTTACACAGCACCAGTCCCAATGCAAGCCCCTGATGAATTTCATTTGTCACTGGTCTCCACTCGGACATCAAGCCGTTGAATTCTTCCCTAAGCAGTCTACAGCAAGAACGAAAGAAAACGAGTGGTGATCTCTGACAGGTTTTCAAGGTTTCATTATTTGACATCCCAGACATACAATTATGTCTCCAAGGAGGACTCCAAGGATGATGGTGTTCTTAAGATGCCATATTTTGACCACTGTGTGAGCAGTGAACTGGAGGAGAGCATCCCTCAATACTGCCAAAACTTCTCCCCGTGCCTCCTGCCAGAGAAGGCAGAAATAGCTCAAGCTGTTGGACATGATGCAGTGGCAACACAAGTAACTGTAATTGAACTCCAACTCGGGAGTATCCACACAATTTCTGCTCCAATCTGAGCACTACAGATTAGGACAAACCAAATCTTGCTATTAAGAAGACAAGCAGTCTGAATAACGTTAAATTTTCTTTTACATCCCTAACAAGTATCTCAACTCAGAAGAAAAATTAACTGTAGGAAATAGGGGGAGAAATAAGCTGCCATGAACTTCTACCTTCTCAAAAAGGTATTTCTAACAAAACACAGTGATGGCTAAAGGTGGTGATGAGGAACCTAAAGCAGAGACCTCTATTTCCCATGCAAATTCAGGGGCAACTGTCCCCTTCAAAACACGAAAGCAAGAAGTCAATAGTAGTTGTAACTTCACTGCTAAGGCGTGTGAAGCCAAATCAAGTGATACTTTTTTTTTTTTCTTCAAAAAAGCTTTTTAACATTTGTGTCAGATAGGTGGGGGGGGAAAAAACGTGGGAGGGAAGATGTAACAGAACACTTTAACATCCAAGTCCACAGCGATAGTATGTACACTCTACCTGGCCTCCCTACAGAAAGGGGAGATACTATGACTGGCTGAACTGCTGTTTGTGGGGGAACTGCTGTTGTGACACTGGCTGGAGTGGAGGCAGCAGAATTTGAGGAGAAGCCTGTAGCAGCATAAACACCTGTTGAGGTTGAGATTGCTGCAGAGTTCACCAACACCTGGAAAAGAGTCAGAGTATTCAGCAGACTGCCTCTACAAAGAAGTAAGACTTGTTAAATAAGCGTCTTTGCTGGTTTTCATGGCCTGTGGCACTGAGCTGACATAACCTACGCTTTGAGGGTGGCAGAGCACTGGAACAGGCTGCCCAGAGAGGTGGTGGAACCTCCGTCTCTGGAGACATTCAAAACATTCCTGTGCAACCTGCTCCAGGTGGACCTGCTCTGGCAGGGGGGTTGGACTACATCTCCAGAAGTCCCTTCCAACCCCATATCATTCCGGGATTCTGTGATTCCTACCCCATGAGAGGGCTATGCCACCATGATACCACCAGGGCCAAACTCACACCCACTTCTTTTTGATTGTGCACATACAGTGTAAGTTTCTATCAAAGACAGAGCCTGTGCAAACAGTAATTTGAAAGAACTGCGGTTGACGTGCACAGAGCATGCACTGTTTTCTTCCTAAATTTATCAACAAAGACATAATTAGAGCTTTCCACTGCACTTTGTTCTCATGCTGAAAACTTGCTCATTTCTCATAGAAGGCTGGAACAGCCTTATCCCACACAAGACAAATACATTTCTTCAGTCTGGGCTGTTGGATGACTACTTGTCTGGAACGAAACCTGCCAGTGATAAATGACCACTCGTTTTCATGTGTTCAATGCTTTTATTATGTGCTATCAGTGCAAACTAAACACCAAGACTACCACCATTTGTGCAACAGCTTTCACAAAACAAATCTTACAAACAGCAATATACAACAGATCAAAACAGTATTCTTACGCACTCAAGAGACATGAAACCTAAGCAGAATGAGATTAGGCAGGAGAAATACAGCTATTACAAACGTGTCCCTTAGCAGCAAAGTGGTTTTGTTTTGCGAAATCTGAGAAAGCCAACCTATTTCAAACATTTTCATCCTCCAATGACCCTGAGCCCAATTTTTATCTGTAGTTGTAGTGATAGCCTACTTCAGTGCTTCAAAAAGAACTGGGTGTCTAAGTCTTCCAGTGCAACCCCTCACAGAGGTACATGATGCAACATTCCTTTAGTGATAGCATATGTTTTTACACATACTTTATGTAGTCCAATTCAAGCTTTGTGTTCCCTGCACTACAGTTTGTGTGTACTCTTTTCCTGTGCTTTCCTACTTCATTGACTACATCATCATCTTGTCAAGTCAACTATCACTAGCATAAACCTATAGAGAAATGGGAAATTGGATTGCAGTTTAATCAAGTGACACAGCCCACTGAGACACAACAACATTTACAAACCAATATTAATATATAGTTGACAAACAAGAAACAAGAGAAACCAAGGGCAAGCAGTGAGCTTATAGATCCCAGATTTACATTCCTTGAGGCACATCATGAGGTGCAGGGTTAGGTGAGGCAATATAGCTGACTTGGTGCAGTGGTCCAGAACTTACAGCATTAGCAATCTGTGGAGAATTTCCATATGGTGGATTTACAGGATGCCAGGTACCAACATAGCGATAGGCAGGTACTAAAGAATCAAACCCAGGGAGAGACTGCTGGCTGAAGGGGTCTGACACGACTTGGTAATATACTGGCCCGTAGGACAGGGGTGGAGGCTCTGCATTTTGGAAGTTACCTTAAAAAACAGAACAAAATACACACACTTACCATATTTTACCACATCCATGGCCTTTTTATGCAGACTTTTGCTGTGGTGAATACAGCATTGTTTTGGTGGCCAAGAGGGAAAAATCCATTTAGATTACAATTTTACACCCCATAATGGCAGGGTCAAAATCATCTTAGGTCCTAAGTTAGACTAGAGGACAACTTGCTCATCTTCTCACTAAACCCTGTTCAAGAATCCTTTAGCAGCATTCTGCTTTGGAGTGGCAGCTTTTTCAACAGGAACTCAGGTAAAGAGCTAAAACATGGGTAGTGAGGCACAGAAAGAGGTTGCCCAGAGAATCTGTGGATGTCCCATACCTGGAGGTCTTCAAGACCAGGTTGGATGGGGCTTTGAGCAACCTGGTCTAGTGGAAGGTGTCCCTGGCCATGGCAGGGGGCTTGGATGGTCTTCAAGGTCCCTTCCAACCCTAACTATTCTATGAATCTCTTCTAGGGTATTCTTCCCCTATTTTATCTCTGATCATGCAACATTAATCTGTGCAAAAGAACCACCCTAGCTAAACAGGCTGAAGCGTTATCAAGCAATAAGCATCTATGCATCTGAGCAACAGTTTTGTTATCACATGCTCCTTTCCAATGCTGACTTTTTGCCATGTTCCATAGATTTTAATGAGCTAGGCATCTGACCTTTTGGTCATCTTTTTCCTCATTTAATACTGTCCTCCTATTTACCACCAAGTGTATCTATAAGCTTGTTACCAAGCTGCCAGTTGAAACTAAGTTTTACTGTAAATTTTATGCACAGTAAGAGACACAGCTGGTGTAAGGGCTACTCAAGAGATAACAGCTGTCATGGTTTAACACCAGCTGGCAACTAGGACCATGCAGCTGTTCTTTCCCTCCCCTACAGCAGGATAGGGGGAAGAGAGAAAAAAGGAAAAAACCACACCAACCCACAAAAAAAACCCCAGCCCCCCAACTTTGTGGGTTGAGATAAACACAGTTTAATAGAACAGTAAGGAAGAGAAAGTATTAGTAACAGTAAAACAATATATATATTAAAAAAAAAGTGATGCAATACAATTGGTCTCACCACCTAATGACTGATTGCCCAAGCCCATCCCGAGCAGTGATCACAAATCCCTGTCCCCCTCCAACCCCTATGTATATACTGAGCATGAGTCTACAGTATGGAATACGCCTTTGACCACGTTGTCCTGTCTATGCTCCTTCTCAGCTTCTACAGGGAACTGAAAAAGTCCTTGACTTAATATAAGCATTACTTAGCAACAACTAGAACAATACATGTCATCAACATTATTCTCATACTAAATCAAACACAGCAGCCACTTAGAAAAAAATTAACTCTATCCCAGCTGAAACCAGGACAACAGCTAAGCCTGAAACCAAGGTTTGCAACATCTTCTCTTTAAAAATTACCGTGGAGTTGAAGTACTAATGCTCAGGGCTTGCCAAAACTCAGCTGTCTCCTTTACTTTAAATAGAGGCATGCTGTTTTGATATCATCTCTATTTGCTCATCAGTAAGCAAAGAGATTCCTTCAGTTTTAGAAAATGTTCTCTCAAGTTAGCATACCTGGTACAGGTTTAGAACCGATTACTTCTTCCTTTTTAAGGCTATAAAAGCCTTTGACACATTGGTGGCTACACCACTGACTCTGACATATTTTACAGTACCACAGATAGCAGAGGAACTTGTGAAAACCCCTTACAAGGCTTACTCTGTGTCCTGCCAACCTCACACTTCTTACAGGATAGCAAAGCTGCAGGCAAGCAGCTCCTGTGAGCCGTCAAGCTCTGAAAACCTATTCCCTCTCTTCTCATTAGTTGTGTATGTCACCTTATACTCCAATACTAACCATTTGCAGGTGCTTCCAAGGGAACCTGGTGGACTTCAGTTCGCCCAGCATCAGTGTAGAGCTGAGGTACCGACTGATCTAGGACAGGAGCTGGCTCAGCATATGCTGGATAAACTTCCACAGGTGACGGTGGCAGCACTGGCTGTACATACATCATGGAAGGCCAATAGCTCTGATGACAATACTTTTGAGACAAGATAAAAATACAAGGTCATGCATGCAACCACAGATACTCCATCCCCCTCCAAATCACTACTAGTTTCTGATCTAAAGTTAGAAGTTCTTTTCCTTGCTAGCCCCTTAAGATATTAGACACAGCAAAAAAAACCAAACCCATACAGCCTACCAGAAAAGATACTGCAATGTTTGCAGCAACAGCCACCTCAGTTTCACACTGAGGTTCTGTCAGAAATCTTTACAGAGAAAGAAGATTCCCACCTATTGACTGAGTTACATTCAAAGAGATCTCTCCTGTTTCTTCAGGTGAAGAAGCTGATGTGACTTCCTTTACTTCTCTGAGCAGCAGTGCTGGCACTGCTTAAGACTGCTGGTGCAGAGACAACTCCTCAGCAGAGCAAGAGCTCCCAGAACACAAAGCAAGCAGGAAAATGTTGCTAGCTAGAGAAATGGTGCTAACCAGTCTGAACACATCTGTACAAGTCCTAGAAGACTCAAAACCACACATCCCTAATGGTCTTTGAGTTCTCGTCTAAGTACACAAGTTTTCTTAAGAATGACTCAGGTTTTTCCCCTTACCTTTACAGAAAGAAGAATTTTTATCCACCATCCTCTTCAAAAACAAAACCAAAAACCCCAACACCATAACCCAAGGTACAACAATTAAACATACCTATTAGTGTGCTTCACATTTTGAGTTAGAACTTTACTTCCCGAGCTATACTTTAATCTCCATTAAGCATGCCTATACGTATTAATAATCAAGTGCACAGGATGCACATTTAGCACACTTGGAATTCTTAAATACATCAGTACATTTGGCAAGAAAAAGAGCAGTTTTTACACACAATTTACTAATTTTAAAAGCACTTACTTGCAATCCCAGATTAAAATAATACCGTAAGACCTTTGTATCTGAAATTAAAGAACATGACATTAAAGGGAACAGGAGTATAAACCGAGAAGCAAAAGACATTTACACACATCAACAGCACTTTTAAAATTACTCTTACTTAATGGAATATTATAGCACTACTTCTCATCTAAAATTTCAAGTGTAAAGAATGTATCTTAAATATAAGTAGCCATTAAAACCAGTTTATCTTCCTAAGCTAATACAGCTAGGTATTTGTGCAATAGCAAAGCATTTGTCTGACCAACTGAATATCTAACTTCAACAATTATATTAGCTTTAATTTCGGTTCATGCATCTTTATTACACAAGAGATAATTATCAGTATGTTACAAGTCTCCACTGTCTAAGCAATTAAGACTTCAGCAATTCCGGCTTCCTAGTAAGGGTGGATTTTTACAGGAAAACTTATTTTATCAACTAAGAATTTGATTATGATCTCCTACATTAAGTTGAGCACTAAAAGCACTCCCTCCCTTCCTCACTAGAGCAATGAGAAAGGGTTTGCAAGCACACAGGCAGGCAGAAGCAGCCTTGTCATACACTAGTGACAATTCACCCTCAGTACACACACATTATATACATACTCTCCATACATACTGCAAATACCCAGACCGGGCTGGCTTGCGAGACAACGGGCCAGCTCCACAGAGACTCCAGGTTCATGCAGCTTCTGCCCACTGTTTAGTCTGGTTCTGCCACTATCTCCATCTTCAGAGCTTTGTTGAGCAGTGACCAGAGACATGTCAATGGGGACAACACATGCAGCAATCCTAAAACCTTCTGACCTAGTTTTGGGGGTGTCCTCAACTGTATCAAGTCCGAAAAATTGAGAGGGTAGGAAAAGGGAGGAATAAGGAGTATACTTCTTCCTTCCCCTTCCTAACAAGGGTATTCAGAGTTCCATGGTTTCTTGCAAGTAGTCTTTTACTTCTGTCTTCCATGTATGGAATAATTTGTACCCAGGCAAGTACATGATACGCTGAGAAGCAATCCCAGATGCGAGGAGGAACTTTGACACCCTGTTCCAAGAACAACAGGGGTTTGGACTTGGAAAGGCATTTCCAACTGTCCAAAACCAGTGAAGAAATTTTCAACTTTAAAGCTGATCATTGAAAGGACAAAAGAGAGTGCATGCTTTAATCCTATGATGCAGTTCTGGAAATGTAACTGAGAAAAATTCTTGATTTCTCAGATTCAAACACAGCTTTGTTTTCGAGTCTCAGGAAGAGCAAACCAACCTATTCCACAGCAGTAGAACTGCACACACATGGACACACACAGTCTTTGCTTTAGTCCTGCTGGGAGCTGACAGGGACAGAAAGGAGACAACTCAAAAGGCATGAGCCACTAAGGTCTTCATCTCCAGAGTTACCATACAGACCAGCTTCTTGCCACCAGGGCCTTGGCTCCACATCGCCTTCCCTGCCCACCCACCCACCCACCCCACGTGGACACTTCCCCAGCTCTGCTCTGCCACAGCACCCTGCGTGGCACTTGGCTGCAGAGGGGCACAGCCTCAGAAATGCAAACCCCAGTCTTGAAACGCACAAAGATTTGCTCCTCTCGGGCTGTTGCCAATTCTCAACCCTTGCCCTGTTCGTTCAGCACCTTTGATCAGGGCAACCATCCACACGGCTACTTCAGGGAGCGCGCACAGATCCTGCCTTACATCTTACAGCCCTCAGCTCACTCCAGAAAGTGCTGGCCCTTTGGCTGCAACACTGACCGCAGTCAGTGAAATATTAGAAATAACCCACGGGCTCACATAAATGCCAACTTTTCAGTATCTAGCTGAAACCGCATCTACATTTGGAACAAGCGGGTTTTTTTCTTCTTAAAAAAAAAAAAAATCTGATTTTGTTCTTCAATTGTTTATGCAAATCTATGCAAAACAAGCTAAGAGCTGAATGAAGCAGCTGCTTCATAGCAGCGATAACAGTACAAAGGAAGAGCCGGGAGACTGAAGTGACAACCTGATACTGGAAATACTGACGTCTGTGGAATGCTGAAACAGAAGCCAGTACAGTAGGAGACCAGTTTTTGTTTATATTCCTCTTTTAGATGTCTCAAAACCAAGTCAATCTTCAGCAAAACACATCACCCTTACGGAGCAACAGCTAAGCCAAAAAAAAGCTAACCGCCCTGACATGAAAATACACAGACCACGTTGACTACCGATAAAAATCTCATCTTATAGTGCATCGGGACAAAAACCACAATAAAAATTTCTGCTGTGCCGATGGGAAGCTCGGGTCAGCCCTGAACACTAACGCAGTCTCCAGAGCACAGCAACATCAAGCTGGCTTTGACCAACAGCTCCTTCAAACACAAGGGAGACGGCAAGGGTAGGACACCTAAGGTCGCCGTGTTCATAAACGTGCTTCACAAGCCCTAAGCTCCATTAAAAGGAGATCCAAGAGACTCTGGAAACTGGAACGCAGGCAGATGGACCAAAGGAATACTAAGGCCCATGGCAGGTTTTCTTCCCAGGCCCAGGACTCCAGCCTGTTGACAGTCACACTCCCAGTCTATACCAGCAATACATGCAATTCCTTACGCACTACCAACCTTCAAACCCTTAAAAAAGATTCCTAGAGTCTAGGCCAAGAAGGACATGGCCAATATTATGGAGCGACTCAGCTGAAGAGCTACAGGCAGCGTCTGAAGTGGTTATTAATCCACATCCACTCCAGATTCTTGTCAGTACACTTAACGCCCAGTTCTCCCAAGTGCTGAATGCCTCAGTTAAGGACATTCAACTAAAGCTGAAAACCATTAACTCAGATGTTTGCATAGTATCATCTACAGCGATGCTACTGCAGCAGGGAGGTGGAAAACAGAATATTCAAGATTAACAAAACCAGGAACTGATAGCACCAGAAGAGAACAGAATTGCTGCAGGGCACATTAGCAGTACCTGTGAAAGCTGCAGGCCTTTGAGCAGCCACACCACAGTGTTTTGGAACCTGCCTTTTTCCAGATCAACTTCTGACAAGACAAGCATGTTACATGGTAAATGCAACTGAAAGAATCCATAGCATTTCACCCCAAAGTTGTTCTGCAACCTACCAGATGTAGCCACCCCAGCCATAGGTATCAAGAGTAGCTCTTTACCATATCTGAAATTAGCCCTCTAGAATTAGCACAGCTTCAAGTAACAGATTTTGGAACAGAAGCCTTTATATTCTGATGCAATAAAACCTACAACCTGAAACATAGTCAGTTACAAGGATGGTGGGGGTTTTCCTGTATTTTTTTGTTGTTTTGGGAGGGGTGGAAGGATGTGGAGAGGAAATTAAAGTCAGACAACTACAGCGAAACTACACTTTTCAAAACAGTGCAGTGCAAAAAGGAATACTTTGATTTCACAGACCCTACCTATATACAGCCAGTTCTTTCTGTCACTCACCTCTGAATGAAGAGCTACTCTCTCCACCAACAGAGAACATGGGAGGTTCAGAACTTGAATTAAAGGTAGTCAGTCTGACAAAGTGATTTCATCAGCTCTATCTATAAATGGCTCTTAGAATAAGCCAGCTATGATGCACAGACCTTCAACACCGCCAGTGTATGGGGGAATATTTAAAAAGCCTGGTGTACTTCAAGCAGGGATACACCCATTACTCAAAAAATGAAAACGTGTACAGCCAGCCAGTTTTGAACTGCTGCTCTTTAGAGTAGGCTACAGATACTCTGTCCAAAACTACACACACTCAATCCTTATTAGCCAAGACAAGACGCTGCATCACAGATCAGACTTATCTGCCTACTGACAGGCATGCAGTGCTGCAATGGCAGCATGCCTGGGCCTCGCAGTATTCCCCTCCTAGAGAAAAGTAAGTTACACAGCATAACAGCAAGCAGAACTGTTATTCCTGTAGTGGTGAGGCACTTAGCTTATGATTAGGAGAGCAGACAGCTTGATCTTTCAGTTATTAAACAAAGGTCCATGAATTACAGGCTCTATTTATGCCTTGTGAGCCATAAACATGGCAGAATGCAGGGATAAATTAGTAACAAAAAATAATAATCGAATATGTATATGCCTTTTGCACTGCTTATCAAGCTCGGCTGTCTGCTGCAACATGGCATGGTATGCCAATATTCTTAAAAGAAAGAGCAAGTTGACTAAAGACTGGCAAGTACTATGTTGGCCTGTGCATGCTCATTGCTTAACAGCTGAAATGTACCTTAAACACCATCATTACTGATGACAGTATAAGAAAAGGCTACGCACCCAACGAACAGGATGACCCTACACTTTATCCCCTGTTTATGATAACACAGAACAACATCTTGGACCCACACAGGAAAACAACACAATAGCCTACTGAATTGTGCAAAAGCAGATTTTAAAGTTTTTTTTAAATCAGTTATCAGAAAAATGATTACTCCACCAAGAACTAGTATGATATAGGCCAAACACACTCTCTCTTAGCATTAATTTCTTAGGGTGATATCTAAAGCTGCAGTAATCACATATTTGAGTCAGGTATGAACTTGCTATTATTCAGAACCAGGAATTCGAACATTTTTAGCATAAGCATCCATAGTAGTATTTCTCACTCCCTACAAGCTGCAAAGAGCTATTTTTTCCCCGCTATAGGTGTGTTCCCCATGGAAACTTAACAGCGTAAGTCAGAACTGTGCTGAAGAGCAGCAGTAGTAAAAGCACAAAATACCGTTTTTACCTCGAGGCAGATCACTGCCACTGGGATCACAAGAGTAAGGTGGAAGAACGGCACCAGCTTCTCCCACCTCACTGACTGGAGGAAGAGGAGCTGAATAAACTGGGAATGGCACTGAAGAAACTGTTACATTTAGAAGGAAAAAAAAAAGTCAAGTCAAATTTACAATGGCATGTCAAATGAGCAAGATGCTAAGTTACACAATTAAGCATGCACTACTTTGTCATCTCAGTGGCCCTAAATGCAAGCTTTAACAAAGTTCTCTTTAGAAATCACTTTAAAAGAAGTCCAAAATAAATTTAAAAAACAGATGGGAAGGTTCCAATCTCACAAGCCTTAACTGTATGTCTATCAGCAAGCTTCATATTCCAGTTAAGAATAAAGGTCTTTTTCAATCATTTCCCCATGCTAGAAGGCAGGCCAGACTTCCCTTACATAACTGTCTGTTCTAGAGCAACAGGGAACAGACAAACCACTTTAAGTGATTTAAATGTTAAATGAGTTACTTCAAAATCCAAGTCCACAGTGATAGTATGTACACTCTACCTGGCCTCCCTACAGAAAGGGGAGATACTATGACTGGCTGAACTGCTGTTTGTGGGGGAACTGCTGTTGTGACACTGGCTGGAGTGGAGGCAGCAGAATTTGAGGAGAAGCCTGTAGCTGGAGCAGCATAAACACCTGTTGAGGTTGAGATTGCCGCAGAGTTCACCAACACCTGGAAAAAAGTCAAGAGTATCAGCAGACTGCCTCTACAACTGGCTTTGTCAAAGATTATGAAATATCACAGTTCAAAAATTCTCACTTCAGATAAATGCATTTTGGAAGTCCTAGCTGTAAAAGGCAGCTAAATAACCCCATTCTCTAAAAGCTGGCTTGATAATACCAGTTTAGAGTTGCAGACATCTGCAAGGCATCTTTTCACCCTTCTATTTTGTTTTTACTTTAGGAATTGCATTCTTTGCTACAGGATGCTTGAAGAGGCAGGTAAAGGGAGCCCACAAATTGCCACTAACCAAGCAGAGCGGTCACCTCTCCACAAACCCACCACAGTAAAGTACTAGGTACTACCTTCTGGGGATAGCCGTAGGAAGCAACACCATCTTGAGGTGACACAGAGACTGCCCCTTCTTCCTGAAGGGATTCCAAAGTAAAGCACAGTCCATTTAAGAGGCAAAGAAGTCACAAGGGGCACACACACCACACCCCTAATTTTTTTTATTAATTTACAGACTACACACACACACACAGAGGATCTTTCGTAAATTGAGTGAAAGCAGTTTTATTCTGACACACACATGGCTGGCTTTCACACCCACTGTAGACCAGTAGGTGACTCAACATTCAGTTTCAGATTTTAAAAAAAATATTCCAAAGTCAATTCTATCAGAGGTGAGATTTCTCCAGCCTCATAATGGAGGAATGAGACTAACTGGAGTAGGACTTAAGGGTAGCGCGATAAAAGCAAGTGCTGTCTGGAGCAGAAAAAGAAGAAAAGTAAACAGCACTCAAATACACACTTTCTCTTTGCAGAGGGGAAAGTGGAAAAGTCATTAATGTATCTAGTACAATTCAGACTATAGTTGCAGACTCAGAGATAAACCTCACCATTTAGAGAGGAAAAGAGAGGTGAAAATATAAATGAAACCACCATTCCTTTCCTCCAAAAGAAGTCTCTGACCTATGTTAAGTCTGCATCCAAGGACAGTTTCTATGAAGAATCCGACACACTTCAAAGATTCCTAATCCGAAGAGGCAGTGACTAAAGCTTACCAAGTTTGCTGCAGGTTCTGCTGAACTAAATACTGTTGCAGTTTCACAGTCAGGATCTGGAGGGCATAGGCAAAATTAATTGAAAAAAGCAGCATTAAATCTAATCCTTCAGAAACTTAAATAAAGGTCATTATGAGTGCATTACACTCACCGAGTGTTCTATCAGTAAAGACAAAAGTTATACTTACCTGGAGGTGCATAGATATATTCTTCATGAAATTTCCCTACAAGGGAGAGAACAGGAAACTGTGATTCAAGAGAAAAAAATAAATAAAAGCTTAAAGCTGAAGTTACCACAATTACATTTCAGTGCATCCATTAATATGCTTTCAGTATCATCTTGTTTTGTGCAGAAAAGGTAGTGAAACACTCAAGACTCGTTTTTTTTTATTCCAACAACTATCAAGGTTACTGTTACCAACTTACTACATCCATTTTTAAGCAGCAACTTGGCTTGCTACAGGCCTATGCAATCACAGTGGTCATAGCATAGCAAGCTTAAACACAAGTAACACATTTCTATCAGACCACAATAAAAAATAATAAGCTCACAGGCATGTTCAAAGCTCACAATAAACAGATACTTAGGAGATGTAAGGAACCTGCTTTGACAATCAAAAGCACACTGAAGGTCTTCTAAACCTGTCTTTTCGTCCACTAATCCTTTGAGAACTTACCATTTTCACTCGTTTCTTCTTCCTCCTCTGAGGAATTCAGGGCCTGCTTGTTAGGTGGAACAGAGTTTGGACTTCTCCTTGCTACCCAAAATCCTGCTGGACTATGGACAACAGCAGCAGGGCTACCCTGACCCTAAAAAGCAAAGTCAGAATTGTGCAATTAGAATTTAAAGTCTTTGCATGCACTACATACATGAAGAGTAGAAACAGGCTGACCAAGCTTGCTGCAACCAAAACTCACTAGAATTATCATTTGTGTGTCCATTCCTAGGCACCTTGATTACAGCACCACAGTTGCAGACACATTTCTTTCCTCTACCTTTTGTTCTGGCTGCATACTTAAGGTAATTTATTGTTGAAGACCTACCACTGTCCTATGCAATACAGTCAAGTTGCTCCCTCCCAGAACTTAGCCAGCATCATCTAAAGCTCTGACAAAACCAAAAAGGAGGGAGCAGCCTCAAAGCAACAGCTAAGGCTGCCACCCTCAACATATACTCCAGTGTTCCTCATCCTGGAGCATGCCCACCACACCAACAGCATATCAGTTCATCCAGATACTCTAATCACCATAGAAAAAGGTTCTCTCTATTGCAATTAGTGAAACCCACAGGTGGCTGCTGGCATAGTCACCACTATCTGCACTAACTTGAACCACACATGCAAGACTGGCTTTTTCAGAAAGCAGCACTCATCAAGTTTTCCCACAGGACTCAACTTTAACACTTCACATGCCCTTTGCCTTTACATCGACATCAGTCTTTAGCTGCACCAGAATTTAAAACACAGAGTTCTCTGAAGCAGGAATACAGGATTGAGGAGCTCGAGTAAAATGAGTTGATGCCCTCTTTTGTGATGGCTAAGGTGACACTCAAAATTCTCCTCAGAAGACACGGTGACTATGAGACCGATAAAGTGCTCAAAGAGGCTTGTAAGATTTCCAAGGTTGAAGCAGAGGTGGAAAGTCAGAAGATTCTCCCACCAGGCCTCTAGTAGGATCGCAGAGTTTTCTGCAAGATGCATCCTTCCCCAGGAAATGTTATATTCCTTTACTAAACAAGACAAGGAAAAGACAGAAAAAAGGCTTTGGCATTGACAATAACAAAGTCAATGAATGAACATTAAAAACTACTCATTAGGAGCTGCAGTATATAGTCTAGAAAGGGAGAGGAAAAATTAGTAAACTGCATTGATTTCATGTCGGGGGGAAAAAAAAAAGCAAGGTAATCTGTCCTTATTCCTTGACACTCTTGGAAGAAAATCAGAGCAGAGATTACAGATCTAGCACGAGGACAAATTAAAAAATGGCTGCTGCTCAAACAGCCCTGAACAGATCCCCCCCTCTCATCTAAATACAAGTCTAACATTTCTTCAGTTCCCTGCTTCAACACAGTAAAAAGAACTTCAAATGTACCAAGGTGGGTGTTTTTTTGTTGTTATTTTTTTAGGGCTTTTTAAAAGAATGATCTGCTTTCAGATACCTAAATATCAATTGATTTTTTGGTAGCATATCCAGATTTGTACTGGGGCTCAGACTACAAGCAGAAGAAAAAGATCTACAGTGTCAGAATACACTGTGCCACTTCATCTGCAACCCAACAGAAAGTCTAGACTTGGAATTTTCTCCTGTCTCTGTTGCAGACAAATCTGTTTCAAGAACATGCTAGCCCAAAACATCACAACTGTAAATTCATAGGAACAAGCCAGGCTACCGCTATACAGCCTCTGAATCTAGTTACACAAATGATAAATTACAGTGTGACAAACAAGTGAAAAGCTTTCTCCCACAATATTTAGAGCTAGACAGACAGCCACAGTGCGAAGGGGTTGCTTTTTTGGTTTTGTTTTCATACTGCAATAGAAAGGAAAACACACTGAAGAATAAACAAGTGGTGCTGGTGAGAGGAGAGAGAAAGAAGGGGAACATTTAGAAAAACGGAACGTTTAAGCACATTGTACGGGATCTAGACTCATGTCAGCCTTCCCTTATCAAAAACACATTCCCTACTACAGCTTTTTTTTTACAGGGGAAAAAAAAATATATAAAAAATACTGCTGTATACTTAGGTAATGCTGTGCACCTGTACAGCTTCCCCCTCTCCCTCGCACCTCCTCTCTCTTTGAGAGGTTTTAACATACCCCTTGCTCATAACTTACTGGTAAATTGGGAAAAGCAGTGTCATCCTCTCCTTCAATTTCATAGAAAGTTATCGTTTCTTCGGGTCCTTGAGGCTCCTCTCCGTTCCCCGGTACAAACCCATACTGACATTCCTTATTTACACACTGCATCTGACGGCGGCTACGGCTGTAGGAGCTTTAAAAACAAGAAAGGACGTTAAGAATCATCCCTATTGGAGCTTCACCTTGGTTTCATTACTCAGTTTTAACTCTGTTCTTTTTGGAGAGGCACAATAAACCCACTGTTTCTTACGGTGCCATTAACAGCCAACTCAGCCCTCCACATACCTTTCCCACCATCCTCCCCAGCTCTTTTAGAGCAACAGTTTGTAAAGAGGTTTGTATTCACTTACCAGGACCTGCAGGAGAAATTGTCATAGCTCTGATAGCATCTCTTTCCTGGACTGGGGTAGAATGCTATTTGAGGGCCAACCATGTTGTGCCTGTTTATAAATCGGGCAGATCCCCTAAGTTTAAAGGGTAAAAGGTGCAATTACCAGGAAGTGCTTCTCAGATGAACTCATTTGTAGTTTTACCTATTAAATAGCACAAACTCTCTCCTAACTAATCTGCAGCAAGAATGAATGGAAAACGAGTGGTGATCTCAGACAAGTTTTCAAGGCCTCATACCTTGGCATCCCAAATCCACGGTTGGGTCTCTGAGAAGGATTCTGAGGGTAGTGTTCATAAGGTGCCATGTTTCCACCACCCTGTGAGCAGTGAACTGGAGGAGAGCGCCCCGAACTGTGCTGTAGCCGGGGTGGAAGAACTGGCTGACCCCTGCTATAAGCCACAGTCATAAAGACTTCCTTTCCGCGAACTTTCTTAAGCATTCTCTTCCGTGTTTTCATATCCATTTCTACAGTTTCAGTTGAGGACAGAAAAGACAGATTTACAGCTTAAACAGCTGACTTTAGAGCCATGTTCTATTCATCATTCGAGAAGAGACAATATCTGGACACATGGAAAATGGCCTATCCCAGAAAAAGTATTAAGTATGCAAACTGCATACCCATATTTTGAAGGCTCAAGCAGGCACTCTAAATTATGAGCAGAATACGATCCTCTCACATGTGAATACCTTCCCAACCTCAGCTAATGAAACCAGGACTCCTAGCATTAAAATCTCTTTACGAAGGCTGCATTTATCCATTAAAAAAACCCTCTCCAAATTAATAAAATACAACCCATATTTAATTAGCTGGGGAAGCCCTAGTCTGTCCATGCATCTCTGCGAAGGCCAAATCAGACAAACGTTTTAGTTCACAGACCCAATCTTTGTACATAATTCTCAATTGCCAAATTTCTTCTTGGCAATTTTGAGCAATGCTAACTTTATATTTTCAATGGATTTGTTCCGTTGCAAAGGTAAATTTATCCCTCTGTCTGAAGGATCACTTTACATCAAACCTCTACAATGACCAAACTTCATATCACAAGCTGTATTAAGTAACTTCTACTATCCAAAAACTGCTACTGTTAAAACTGTAATGACTGTCTCCCTCACTCCCCCTGGCCCCAAGGGAAGGAATGTTTGTGGAAACCTTGTACAAACCTATTCCTGAGAAGTATCCACCTGTTATTTTCTGATAGGTTCCTCCTTTTCGGCTGGGAACCATATTCCAGGCAAGGACAGGTGCCACTTGTGTCACTGGTTTTAAGTTTGCCAAAGGAACTGTATGCCTACACAAAGAACACTGATGTTAGCAGTGCCACAAGGATATACAGTTGTGCAGTTACGCACAGTATCAGCTGAAGCAATACTACAAGAGAATAGAACAGAAAAACCCACAGAGTGTAGGCAGCTTGTGGAAATAATAAATAAAAAAAAGATGTTTCTCTGATACCAAGCACACATAATTGTTACTTGTTTATTAAAAAAAATAAAATCTAGCATTTAGTCTCAGCACTACTGACTTCCTGGGTCAAGCCTTTTTTTCCTGTATTTGTATATGCCTTCAGAAGTACACCTGAAGGCGTATGACAACACAAAATTTTTTCCAATATGTCATCAAGCCAAATTCTAGGTTCAGAGAAGGGTGAATGCTTTGAACAGCAAGGTGGAGAAAGTGATTAGACTCACCAGAAGTGCCAATTAATTAGTTTGTTTGGATACAACATAAAAACTCCAGAGAAACCAACAGCAGAGGATAATTTGCTATCCATGAATTAAGCCTAAACTGCGAAGGTCACTTTAACATTCAAGAGAAGACTGAACAGAAAGATTTCACAGAAAGCATTACAATAATTATTTTGGTCATTAGAAATCCAAGAGAAAAAATTTCCTGCAACGTTCTGTTTGAAGAGTGATAGCCAGTAAGGAAGCAAAGCCTCACCTTGTATTTAAAAGCCTAGGTTCTCCTTTCTTTTCAAAGTACCTTAACAATCCTATTTTAAGCATCTGTGAATATACAAACTCAACCAGAAAGAGTTCGAACATGAAGTCACCAGACTGCTTACTTTTCTGCCAGCTCCTCAACGAATACAGTCAACATGTTGCCATCCTTCCCGACTTCCTGGATATGAGCATTGTAATACTTACCTCCAGGCTCCAGACGCACCTGGAGAGAAAATACAGGAAGCTCTAAAAAACGCCAACCTGTATCAGGGGATTCACAATACTGTCTACAAACCACCAATAGGAAAGGCTGCTCCTAGCTGATTGTATATTATTACTGAGTTGGCTCAGGAGTCTCAAATACTTCTTCAAAATAGCAGGCAAAATAAAGAACACTGCAATAACTTCACAGAGGAAAGGAGGGGAGGAACTCTTCTGAGTGACTGAAAGGTAAGAAAATACGTCCTTTCTAACTTTTTTTTTTTAATACACTGTGCCAAACAGATAAGTACCAAGGAAGACCGCTGTTTAAGAACTTGAGAAGAACAGGAGATAAAACAGGAAATGGGAAAGGAAAGCTCTGCTCAGCTAGAAACAAGTCACTGAGTGAGTCATCAGCACTGCCTTAAACAGTGATAAAAAATAAACCCTAGCTACATACAACACCGTAATACAAAGAAAGCTGACCTTCCTTTCAGTATCTCCTGGCCAGATCACACTAATCCTTCCTTTTTAGCTCTTCCCTTTCTATTTCATAAAAATATTTGCTACATTACTGTGGAGAAGCAGAAGATTGCCCAGACTTGTTGGTGACCCCCAGTGAAAATCCAATAGACAACTACCTCAAACACACACCCTGGGCTTCTGAGCTCTTGGTCTGCAACTTCCACGCTCACAGAATGTACATCACTGGTTCACAATAAGTTTTCAAGCAGTTTTTCCTTCACACTACCCAATGTTTAAAGGTAGATTTAAAAAATAAATTAAATTAAAAAGAAAGTCAGATTAATAGCAACAAGGAAAAGAATGAGAAAAAGCCTTGGAAAACTCTATGAAGTCAAGTGATTTTATGGGTTACCATACTCCATTTAAAAGTTTTAATAGTTTATCATAACTGAGTCTCCTTTGAGTACTAACCTGACACTTGTCTCCTAAATAGTACTGTCTCCCAGCAAACACCATGTAGTCAGTTTTTTGAAGCTCTAAAAATAAATGAATAAATAAATAAAAAGGAAAAAGCCTTTAAACTACTGTTCTTTCTTCATGTATCCTACAAGTACTTCACGACAGCATCTAACTACAAATTATAGGCCAACTGAGTTAAGTGTTTCCTATGCGTATCTGAACACTCCCCACAGTAATGGTGAAGTAACTGTAGATGTTCTTATAACAGACCATAACTAAGCTAAATCACAGGACATCAATAATACTCAGATAATGCAGTAAGTATCACTACTACTTCAATACTACAATGTTTTTTGTGATGGTACCAAGTTAATCCTGCACTTAATACCAGGATTGGTACTAAAAATGTTGGAGATATCTTGCCTTGCCAGAGTACTGGTGGCGCCTGGAAAAAATAAGAAGTTATCTAAGAAAAACCAACATTGTCTGAAGTCTCCCTGCTGCTACATTTCAGTAGGTTCCTTGCCTGGATTCTCTGTACATCAGGACTCTACACAGATAATTAGTTACTCTGCTCTGTTCCAAGAATTTTAATTACCCTCATTATTGCTTATGCAGTTGTAAAATGCTGGAGTTCCTCAGTATGCAAAGCACTTTGGATCAGACATAAAACACCACTTCAAAACTTATCTTTCTTCGTAAGTTCTTGCTTTACAGATGAGCCATACTGTATGTCAAAAAGCAGCAACCTATCCCAAGCCACAAAGACCTTGAAATCTCTACAGAATGTTCAAGCCCAGGAGAGCTGGGAAGCAAAAGAAAACTCCACTCATTTGACAGATATCAATGCTAAATTTGATATCTTATTATACAAGTCAAAAATCATGCTTTAAAAAGTAGAAGTCCTTGCACACACGCTGCAACAAAAAACTCTCAAGTTTGAATGATTTCCAATACAACAGAATGGTAATACAGAGTACAGAACTCTAAGTCCTTTTATTTCCTAGTCTATAATTACTAAATAGCGGTGGTCAGATTTTAAGCAACCTTATCACCATTATACAGTGTCAGAAGCAGTGTATTTTGTACTTTGAAATGAAGCCAAGAAACCAGCTACTAGCAAGATTTACTACCTACAAGTATCTGCTGGGTTAACTAGTACCCTTCACACTTCAGCTGTGAAGAAACAGGTGATGTAACCTAGTACAGAGAGAATTGTTTGGTTTTCCTTTTTCAAAGATACCTTTTCTGCTGTCCAGCCAAACATCAAACTCCACATTTCGATAGATCTCAGGGTCCAGTGCCTTAAGCACTTTATAAGGAACAGGCATCTTTGATGGATTTTCTGGAGGCTAAAACCAGAGTTGAAACAGAGCATTAACAAGTGCAATTAATGTGTTCAGCATAGTCTGTATCCTGACAGGATCTATGGACCATTTTAAGATGTACACACACTATTTTCCAGAATTTTAACTTCTACTATATTTGCCTAAAAACTATAGCTCAAGAATATGAAAATGTATTTAGACATTCAGAAGCTGAGCAAACAGACTCTGCAATAGACAAAAACAGGCTCAAGACTAACAACTGATATGTTCTTTACTCAAAAAGAATCCAAGAAAGCTAACCAGACCAGTAAAACCACAGCTTCAAAAGCCGGTGGGAATTTGAGTTGTTGTATCTAAAACCAGGTTTCTGTAGAGTTTCTAAAACTGTTCCAAAGTGATTTCTGCTGTGTTCAAAACAAAAGTGAACTCATTTAAACTATTTTTGGGAAAACAAACAGCAGCGCAGGAAAGATCTGCTAAGCTATATCTTTGGAGGGAAAAAAGAAAATATGTAAAGAACAAGAGAATCTCAGAAAGTAAAAAGGCTTATCCAATTTAATAGAAACTCAAAGGCAAAACTGAAAGGCAAACAGATGGAAGAAATAAGCCACCCACTTTCCAGAAAGTAATTTTTAAAAGGTGGAAAAGAGAGTTTAGCACTAACAAGGGTAACATCATATAACAACAAAAATACTCCACCATAAGGAATTCTTCCATAACTGACAAACCTTTTCTTCTTCAATGCTTTGTTTGAACTTATCTTCCTGTGGATTGTCAGTATCATTGCCTTCCCAGTTGTCCACCCTAAATAATTGAAAATAAGATTACAAAAGATACAATGCATAATTTCTAGCCAGAACTTAAAATAAACCAACTGTTCATACAATCTGGAAAGGCACCATGGTGCCATCAAGTGGTTGATTTTGCCTTTAAACACTAGCCATGGCTGCAATGCAGTATAGGACAAGTCTTTTCCCAGATTCAAGAACATGACCTTTACTTGGTCCAACACCCACCCTTAAGGAAGACTACTGCTTGCATTAGGAAAGGATGAAGATTATTCCACTGATTGATTAAACTCTTGCACTGTCAAGTACAACAAGACACTCTGCTCTAAGTCCTATCAAACCAATGTCATCTGCGAGGATTCAGTAATGGCCAAAGGCATCCCTTTAGCTTTTCAGATCTAGTGATCTGAACAACATAGGATGTAAGGGCTTCTATAGGTACATTCTGTCTGTTCCCCTCATCCAGCAGGGATACAGACCTGGATAATGCCAGCATTTAATTGTCTATTTGGGGTATGATGCCATTAAAAAAGGACAAACAAACTAAAGCAAAGCTCATCTTTTCAGTACACTACTGCCTCTGCAGAGCTATAGAGGCTTAAAAGAGTAATAACAGTATCTTACAAAAAAAAATGTTGATGACATAAGGAACAATTTCATTTACAAACAAGTTGTCATTTTACAGAGTAACACACACAACATAGCCAGCAGCAGAGGATGTTCAATTATGTGAACTTACGAGATTTTTTTTTCTCCTTGGAACTTCACAGTTTCAAGGAAAGCACACTCTCTTCCACAATATACTTCAGCTTTGCATGTGTATCATGAAATAGGAAAAAGAATCAATACCCCAAAAAACTTGGAAAAGTTACCCTTTGCAAGGCTTTTAATTTTTTTTGCTTCCCTTTTACCACATTGCATTCCCAAAATATTACCTCTTTTCTGATGGATTTCTGGATACTTTTTCATGAAGACAATCAAAGCTGGCGTCCTCACTTCCTGCAAAGCCACTGTTTCTGTTCTTCTTGGATCCACTTCGAAACACCTCAACTGCAGACCTTAATTCTTCCTCATCCATGCCAAACACATCTTTGTACAGGATCTCATATAATACAGCTAAACAAATCAAAACAAAGCTCAAGGCAAATTAAGATAATACCAGATCCATAAGAACTGTGGCAATTTTCAAGGTAAGTGTATCTTCAGATATTACGTGTCGTTACAAGACCCTAGTTGTATTAAATTCAATTAAGGAGAGGACCATAAAGCAATTCTGGTGGGAAGAAGGGACCTCTGGAAGTCATTTAGTCCAACACTCCACAACAGAATAATGAGTATGTGTTAATATACACTAAACGAGCTTCCATCTCTCTCCTCCCCACCCATGAAAACCAAAACAAATACTGTCTATAAACTTATGAAAACACATACTTCTTTTCCATAGATAAATGATTTCGAGTTTACCCTGGCAAACAGCAGCATTTTCCTGGAATTGTTTTGTGTATACAGAGTCATAATGGCCGTTGCTGGAACAACACAGTAAAATCTGGGAAAATTTAAAAAAAAAAAAAAAAAAAAAAAAAAAAAAAAAATTTAAAGCGTGAAAAAAAAAA